CACATGTCGGACTCCTTGGTCCATGTTTCAAGATGGGACAAATGGGGAGCCCACAAGTCGATGCCCGGAGCACGATGGTGCCGAGGCATGCCGAGGACGGCACGTGCTGCAGTCCATGATTGTGATGACAGCGTCTCCGCAAGCGTTTCAAAAGCTTGAGCTTGGGCCGCCACCATAGTCCGTATAGGTCCACGCCCCGAGCCGATCGACGGACCGGCTGGCACCGTTCCACATCCGACCGGGGCGCATCACCGGCCCCCATCCACTTCCCTCCCAACAATTTTAAGCACTCTTTGACTCTCTTTTCAAAGTCCTTTTCATCTTTCCCTCGCGGTACTTGTTTGCTATCGGTCTCTCGCCCGTATTTAGCCTTGGATGGAATTTACTACCCGATTGGGTCGGATTCCCAAACAACCCGACTCGCGGATAGCGCCTTGTGGTGCAACAGGGGTCCAGCCATGATGGGGCTCTCACCCTCTCTAGCGCCCCCCTTCAGAGTGGCCACGCCAACCTTCCGCGAGGACGGCGAAAAGGATCATAGGGGGCCTACGAACCGGCCCGCATGGGGATTGCGAGAGAGGCGGTAGGAGGCCCGTGAGCCGGCTCGCACGGGGATTGTGAGAGAGGCGGTAGGAGGCATGCGAGCGGCCATGCCCAACATATCCGAGGGGCCGTGAGCTAGCCCACAAGGGGATTGCGAGTGAGGCGAGCAGGAGGTCACGAGCCGGCCAACAAGGGGACAACGAGTAAGTGCGCGGGGGTTCGCTAGCCGGCCGTATGGGGCATGTGAGCGAGTGCGTAGAAGGCATGCGAACGACCACACCAACTTTCGCGAGGGACTGCGAGCCGGCCCGCGGGGGATTGCGAGTAAGGCGGCGGGGGGCCGCGAGCGGGGAGTAGGGGGCCTGCGAGCTAGTCCGTAGGGGGCTTAATAGCGGCCTCGCCCAGCGTACGAGGGGGATGCGAGCTACTCCGTAGGGGGCATAATAGCGGCCTCGCCCATCGTGCGAGGGGGCATGTGAGCTAGCCCGCGAGGGCCGAGCGAGCGACCACGCCCAAAGTATGCGGGGGCTCGCGAGCTAGCCCACGAGGGGATTGCGAGCGAGGTAGCGGGGGTCCGCAAACGGGCATGCAAGGGGTCTACGAGCCGGCTGCGGGGGCATGCGAACGGCAACACCAAAAGTATGTGGGGGGCTGCGAGCCGGCCCGCGAGGGGATCGCGAGCGAGGCGGCAGGGGGTCCGCGAGCCAAACCACGGGGGGCATGAAGCGGGCGCACAAGGTGCTCGCGAGCTAGCCCTGCGGGGGCATGCAACGGCTATGCCCAATGTCCGCGGGGGCTACGAAAAAGCTCACGGGGGCCCGCGAGCTAGCCCGTAGGGGGATTATGAGCGAGGCGGCAGGGGGCTTGTGAGCGGGCGTGCCTTTCCCGTGCTTGGGGCTAGTGAGAGCGCGCGGCTAACCGACCTCTCTTGGTTCCCGGGGCCCGCCAACTCTCATGCGCCCATGCACTTGCTACCGGGCACCATGGCATGCCCTCGGCTCGCGCGGCCGGTCCGGCCGGTGGGCCGGCTAGCTCTCGGGCGGTTGGCCCGTGGCCGGATGCCTCCCGAGCTCGCCCCTCATCTTTCGACGCTGTAAACATTTATTTCCGAGGGTCTCAAACGGGTTGTATCCCTTAGGCTATGGAAATGCCCCTAGGACTCGGGAAGTTCCATGTCCTTCCTTTACTCTCGAGACTTGCCCATAGGTACTTTGGTCACGGAATCACTCCGAGTCCGGGGTGAAACGAATCCTAGAGTTCCGCGAGTGTGGGACACATCTCTCCGGAGACTCGGTATCCAAAACGCCCCCGGAACTTGAACATGGGGAAGCATCGTGGGTGCGTTTTTCGTTTCCTAAAAAATACCAATTGAAGTGGAGGATTTCCTCAAAAAGCATTCTCATTGATTTGATTTTTTCACAAGTGTATCTAGCTAGGGTCCCCCGTCTTGACAAGTCTTGTGATAGATATGATAGACATACAAATGAACTTCTTAAGTAATAAAAACAAGGAAAATGCCTTTCAAAAATTGGAATGATTATAATACTCGATGATAACATCTTTTCATTCTATTGCTCGTTCCTTGTTCATTTTCCTAGATCCTCGCTAGACATGTCCCAACCTCTACGCTCCTCGAACGGAGGTGGGACATGGGGGCAAATCGGAGCGACGTAGGGCTGAATCTCGGTGGATCGTGGTAGCAAGGTCACTCTGCCACTTACAATACCCCGTTGCATATTTAAGTCATTTGCAAAGGATTCTACCCGTCGCTCGATGGGAATTATACTTCAAGGTAGCCTATGCGGCTCGTTCATCGTGAGGGCTTTAGCCAACGGCACATGCCTTTGGGGCCACTAGGCTCCTACCGTAGTCGGTAATAGAACGGCGAGGCACACACATCGCTTCTAGCTCGGATTCGACTTAGAGGCATTTAGTCATAATCCAAGGTGCACGGTAGCTTCGCGCCACTAGCTTTTCAACCAAGCACAATGACCAATTATGTGAATCAACGATTCCTTTCGTACTAGGTTGGATTACTATTACAACGTTGTCATCGGTAGGGTAAAACTAACTTCGTCTCATGATGGTCTAAACTCGGCTCACTCTCCCTATTGATGGGTGAACAATCCAACACTTGGTCAATTCCGCTTCACAATGATAGGAAGAGGCGACATCAAAGGATCAAAAAGCGACGTCATTATGAATGCTTGGTCGCCACAAGCCGATTATCCCCGTGGTAACTTTTTTAACACCTCTAGCTTTAAATTCGAAGCTCTAAAGGATCAATAGGCCACGCTTTTGTTCCACATGAGATTTCGTTCTCCTTGAGCTCATCTTAGGACACTTGCATTATCTTTTAACGGATGTGCCACCCCGACCAAACTCCCCACTTGACAATGTCTTCCACCCGGATCGACCGGTTGAAGCGGCCTTAGGTCCAAAAAGAGGGACTCGCGCATCACTAATTAGATGAAGAGGCATTTGGCTACCTTAAGAGAGTCATAGTTACTCCCCCATTTACCTGCGCTTGGTTGAATTTCTTCACTTTGACATTCGGAGCACTAGGTAGAAATCACATTTCGTGAGCATCCGCAAGGACCATCGCAATGCTTTGTTTTAATTAAACAATCGGATTCCCCTTGTCCGTACCGGTTATGAGTCGACTATTTGACGTCCGAGGAAGGCCCCGAAGGGGCCATTCCCGATCCGTCCCCCGAGTCGGCACACGACGGCTCGCTCTCACCCCTAGAGCGGCTCGAGCAGTCCATCGATAGCCAACGGGTTCGGGATTGGGACCCCCGAACCTAGCCCTCGGAGCCAATCCTTTTCCCGAGGTTACGGATCCATTTTGCTAACTTCCCTTGCCTATATTGTTCCATCGGCCAGAGGCTGTTCACCTTGGAGACCTGATGCGGTTATGAGTACGACCGGGCGTGGGAGGCACTCGATCCTCTAAATTTTCAAGGGCCGTCGGGGGTGCATCGGACACCACGCGACGTGCGGTGCTCTTCCAGCCGCTAGACCCTACCTCCGACTAAGTCGTTTCCAGGGTGGGCGAGGCTGTTAAATAGAAAAGATAACTCTTCCCGAGGCCCTCGTCGACATCTTTGAACTTCTTAACATTGCCGTCATCCGCCATGTCCCGATTAAGGAATTTTAACTCGATTTCCTTTCGAAGCTCGCATGCGAACGCACTATCGGACGGGCTTCCCCCATCTCTTAGGATCGACTAACCCATGTGCAAGTGCCATTCACATGGAACCTTTGCCCTCTTCGACCTTCAAGCTTCTCATTTGAATATTTGTTACTACCACCATGATCCGTACCGACGGCCACTCCACCCGGGCTCGCGCCCCGGTTTTACGAGCAACCGCTACACCCTCCTACTCATCGAGGCCCGGTGCTTGCCTCAACGATCGGGTATAGGTTGCGCACTTCGGGGCCATCCATTTTCGGGGCTAGTTGATTCGACAGGTGAGTTGTTACACATTGTCGGACCATTCAATCGATAGGAGCGACGGGCGGTGTGTACAAAGGGTAGGGACGTAAGCAATGCGAGCCGATGGCTCGCGCTTACTAGGAATTCCTCATTGAAGACCAACAATTATAATGATCTATCCCAATCACGATGAAATTTCAAAGATTACCCAAGCCTATCGACCAAGGCTATAAACTCGTTGAATACATCAATGTAGCGTGCGTGCGGCCCGTAACATTTAAGGGCATCACGGACCTATTATTGCCTCAAACTTCCTTGGCTTGGAAGGCCATAGTCCCTCTAAGAAGCCGGCTATGGAGGGTCACCTTTGCATAGCTAGTTAGCGGACCGAGGTCTCGTTCGTTAATGAAATTAACTAGACAAATCGCTACACCAAGTAAGGATAGCCATGCACCACCACCCATAGAATCAAGAAAGAGCTCTCGGTAAGAGTGAGAAAGAAGAGAGAGATGCTCTCCCCATCCATGGAGCTCTTTCCCTCCCGATCCGACTTGCTACTCGGTTACCATGCTCCCATCCGACTTACTTCTATTTGAAATGGTCTAATCTCTTGTTTCTCGTACTATCTACCCCGATCTCCTTTTTCCTTTTCAATTGCCACATACATTTTCCCCGTCGAACCTTTTCTCTCTCCCTAACATCTTGTTATCTTTCTCTCCAATGGAAAAGAAGAAATGGAAATCGTCACTCAAACTCCTAAGGCTATTACATGGAATGATTCCGTCCTCCCTATCATTGCCACTAGAAGCCCCCGCTACATCCATCCCCCACCCGTTGAAACCAACCCCTCCCACACCCCGTTGCCCAAAACCCTAAACTATAAAAGGGATAATCCCTCCCGCTCCGCCCCTCACTCATCCCGAGTCCCAACTTCGACTATGAATCTATAGAAGTTGAGGACTCGCTCCGAGGAGGAACCTTTCGGTGACACGGAGATGGATTACTTAGTTTCGATGGAATGTCTAAGGCTCGGTCGAATTCTTTAGCACAACCCCACCTATCTCGAATTCCGGTACTCGAGCCGCCTCGCCTCTCCCCAAGTGTTCCTTGCCCCGACTTAGTTACCGAAGTCAACCCCCTTTTACCTCCAATGGCGAGCCATCCACAGCTCGAGGCGGGGACCCATACCTATGATACGCCTACTCGAAAGGATAGTGGTTTCTCCTCCTCCCTTGGACGAGCAAATGGAGAGATTTATTTGTAAGTAACCGAACCCCACATTATGCCCTAAATTGTCTCACTTTTCAGCTATCACTAAATTGAAACAATGTATTTTGCTTAATGATGATACACAATGTGAACTCCGGAAATGTTGCCTAATGGGATATGTTGTCGATAAAAACCCGGGTTATCGAGCCCTTAATAGAATCATTAAGGATACATGGAAATGTGATGCCACTTGAACAGATCCATGAATCGGGATGGCTTATTTATAAATTTCACTATGAAAAAGCTAAGCTTATGGTGCTAAATGGGGGACCCTATTTAATTTTTGGGCGAGCTCTAATCTTGCAATCTATGTCTAAATACTTTGATTTCTCCACCCATGAAATGGCCACGGTCCCCGTTTGGGTTAAATTCCCAAACTTGCCATTAAAATGCTAGTCCAAGCATGCTTGGTAGGCCGATCCAATGTGATAGATTGACGACCACAATGGACGTCTCTCCTATGCTCGGATTTTGGTAGAACTAAATATTATGGAGAATCTACCCAAGATTATCAAAATATTATTGCCAAATGGTTCCACTCTTCTACAACCAGATTATCTACGAGACCCTTCCAATACACTGTAAACAATGCCGAATCCTTGGGCATTCTACAACCGCTCGCAAAAATCTACCTCCTCCAAAGCTCGGATAAGGAGTCCCCAACCGGTGTAGATGCCGATGGGGGAAAGGCCGGGCCAAGCAATATGAGCCCTCAAGCCAATGCTCCCCCGGTAGACGTCCAATCCCTTACCGACCCTATGCTTCTTGAAGTAGTAGGGATAGTCATAGAATGAGAGATAGTGTCCACCCACAAACACTCTCGTCGGGGAGCTAACAAAGGCAAAAATATTATGCTCCATTCGAATCGGAGCGGATGACTTCCCCTACCCCGAGACTCGTTGAGCCTTGGCTCGGATTAGCCGATAGTAGTAACGGGGCCCGAAAGAGGTCGTCTTGCCACGATATAGGGTCGACCGGTTCACCAAGTCGAGCTGTTGAGGGCAATCCGAGTACATAGTCCTTATGAGCATGTTTCTCCGGATAGGGCCGAGGCGATCCTCTGCAGGAACAGATTATGATAGCGGAACTAAAACCAAGACCGGGCCTACCGGAGTAGGGGCTCAAGAGCGGATAGTCGGTGATAGTGGGAAAGGGTAGATTTTCCATGTAGGGCTAAGGTGAGACGAAGTGAGGGTCGAGGGGCTCGGCCCCTTCGCTCTATAATGATCATCTTCGACTGGAATGTCGGAGGGCTTAATAGCCCTGCGAAACGAGCATGAGACGAGTCTATCTCATGAAGAAAAAGAAGGTAGACATTTATGCCCTTGTGGAAACAAAGCTCGGCTTAGCAAAACTTCCCAATATACACGGACTTAGGCTCAAACACTCGGAAATTTGCTTCTAATGCTATGGCTGCGGGTAATGCACGCATTGCTCTTTTTGGAACCCTAAAACTATTATGGTAGATGTGTTAAATGTATCTATTCAAGGTCCGGATGTTCGGATCACTAACCTTAGCCAACAAACTATTTTTCATGCAACTTTTATATATGGGTCGCACTCTATCATCTCTAGAAGAGGACTATGTGAAGACCTTTGTCAATGGCACACGCACTATCCCCGGATTATTATGGAAGATTTTAACTCAATCCTCTCACAAGTCGATAAACATAATGGCACTGCTGTTTCCAACTACGAGACCTCCGATTTTCGAACTTGTTGTTCGATTTGGGGCTTTTCGACCTTAACTACACGATAAATCATTTCACTTGGCACGGGGTGGATGTTTGAACAAAAATTGATAGAGTTTTAGCTAGCCCCCTTTAGGCTTCCTCCTAGATTCCTACACATGTTCATTTTGAACCCTCGGGGGCTTTTTCGATCACTCTCCAAGTTTGGTTACCTTAGGCTCACACATGAGTCCGGTACTCGGAGCTTTAAATTTTTTAACATGTGGGCGGGCCATTCGGACTTTCATAAAGCTGTTGCGGACAATTGGGTAGCTAACATCGGTGGTACACATATGTATGTCCTTTGTCGGAAGTTGAAAGCCCCGAAGGCTCCCCCGAAATTGCTAAACAAAATACATTTCGGCTATATATCCAACGGAATTGCTAAAGCTAAATCTGAATTGGCTACTCTTCAAACCGAGCTTCATAATGACGGGGACAACCATGGGCTATGTGAGACCGATAAGCACCTCCGGTTTAATCTAGCTAATCTCAAGGCTTCGAAAAAATGTTCTTTGGCTAGAAACTAAAGTGCAAGTTCCTCAAAGATTGTGATAAAGGAATGAGCTTCTTTCATGGTCTAATGAATCAAAAGCACAAGGTCAATCACATTGCGGCTCTTACAAGGTGAAATGGGCGACTCACTACCTCTATTAAAGAAGTTGGTTAGGATTTTGTCTCCTATTATCAAAGCCTACTCGGTATTGCTAAGGCTACGGTCTCTCTAGACCCGAATGTAATTGCTAATGGGCCTACCTTACAATTGGGCGGCCATGCCATGCCGCTTACCTCGATTACGGACGACACCATCAAGAAGACCCCGCTTAGCATAGACAATGATAAAGCGTCGGTTCTCGATGGATATTCTTCTCTTTTTTTCAAGCAAGCTTGGGATATCATCGGGAATGACTTATGTGCGACGAGTTAAGGATTTCTTTAAGTCCGGGAAACTTTTACGGTAAGTCGCCCACTCAATCATAGCTCTAGTGCCCAAGTCGGCCAATGTTACTTTACCTAGTGACTACCGACCAATATCTTGTTGTAATGTCATTTATAAAGTAATCTCCATGATCCTCTCCTCCAAATTGTCCTTGGCCCTTCGGGATATTATTAGCCCTTTGTAGAATGCCTTTTTGGCGGGATGGAAAATGTCCAGACAATATCTCGCTTGGTTTCATGTGTTGTATGGGTGCTCTTATCCCTAGTCCGGTTGCGGATTTTTTTTGACTTTCCGGTTGGTTGGCTTGTGATGCCATGCGTTGTTGTCTCACCTCTATTTTTGGTCCGCATTGGTTGTCTTGTTACATTGGCCTGTCGATCGCATGTTGTCCCGCTCTCCTCTATCGCTATCTTCTTTTTTTCGATTTTAGTATCTTCACCGGGCTTGGTCTACTATTGTGTTCGGCCATCTCCTGCAGATAATTGAGGTTGGGTATTGCCTACTCCTCAATCTGTCTAGTACTATCCCCGATTTGGTCGTCCGCCTTTGCTTGATGCACCCACGAGTTGGTTTCTTCTGCTGGTCTCTCGTCCCCGTCCCCCTGCCTCTGTCCGTGCCGAGCCTACCGTCTTGCTCTGCGGGCCCTCTAATGTGTTTTCTAAGTTCCGTCATCAACCTACCGCTATCGATTGGCACTTCGCCATGTTGGATCTCTCCTCTTTTGGCTCGGTATTTTGCTCTCCTCTGCCGGCTCTTTGTTTGGCCCACTTACGAGTTCTTGCATCGGTGGTGGGCAAGGTTGCTCCCGGTTCCGCCTTCTCTTTCGTGTGTCCGCTCGGTTGGTTCTATTTGCCTCTATTTGGTCCGTCCGTTTGGGTTGTTTCGGGGGCACGGCTCGAGCTAACCTCCGTTTCGTCCTCACTTGGCATGGCGATCCGGGAGCCGTTACGCCTACTTCCTCGCTTTCGGTCTTGATTAGCCTTGGTTGCTGCTTACTCCCTTTGGGTTTTATGTTCTTATCTTTGTGTATAACTAGTTTTAGTAAATGTTTAATTGTTCACTTTGGCCTTTCGAGCAAATATTTTGTATGTTGTTGCGCCTCCGTATATGGTTCCGGTTAGCTAGATCGGTTCATTGAGGATTTTTTCTTGGAATCTCTACTTGTTAGATTCCTTGAACAACTTTTAGTCTCTAGCTCTTTTGCTCTCTTTTTTGGGAGCTCGTTCCCATCTTTTATACATCCTGTATTTGCTACTTGTTGCTAGTTTTCCAACTCGTTTCACTTTGATTTATATGCTTATATATATATATATATATATATATATATAGCTCTCGGTTCGACTATCCGGTCCGTCCGCGGTCTTTTACGCTTGTGGGCTAGTCACCGTATTCCGCTTGGCTGGTTAGCCTATGATCTCCTCTACTCTACCGGTCGTCTCTTGGGGATCTCTTGCTTCGGCCTTCTAGGTCTCCATAGCGGCTCTACCAAGCTCTCCGGTTGCTTCGGTCTCTTAACCTCGGGCTTCGCTATTCCGTTCGGAGTTGGGCACGTTACTAGGTCCGTTAAAGCCGGGCCTAGCCTCTTTTTGCGGATTGTTCGAGTTGTTTTAGCACTCCAATCCGCCCTCCTTTCTATGGTTGCATCCATTTTATTTTACATGCTACGTTACCTTAATGATTCTATTCAGCCTCCCTTATCGCAATTGGAGTTCTCATTGTACATGGTAGATTAGGCTTGGATAATTGATGTTATAGGGTTTTCTCTGCATCTTCCAATTTGTAAATGCTTTGCATATCTTCTCTCTTTTCCTAGCTTTTGCTAGTTTTGTTCCGAGAGTCCGTTCCTATGTATTTCTTTTATATTTGCTATATATCTTGGTTTGATGGTGTAGAGCTGCTTGGCGTAGCTTGGTCCGAGTTGATTCCGGTTGGGTTTCGGCTCGGCTCGACGGATCCACTAATCCATCATTCTCCACCTTCTTGAGTTAGGCCCGGTTCAATTCGGTTTCCTCGGGTCCGGTTGTAGGTGTGGGAGGTCTTTTGCTTCGGTTTTCTTCGGCTCTCGGACTACCCTTGCTTCAAGTCCGATAGCAGCCCCTCCGGGGTTCCTGGTTGCGTTGGATTTAGGAGCTTTTCCTCCGTTGTCCGCCCTATTTTTGGGACTCGCCTCGCCTAACTTGTTGTGTATTCCTCGCTCCTGGATTATGTTCTTGTTTGTCTTCGGTGGGTTTTGTTACCTAAACGAGTTGGCTCTCTACTATGGTCGCTTCGGCTCGATCATTCCTACATCCGACTACCGCTAAGCGCTTCGCCATGTGCTA